TTCTTAGTATTTGAGTTTCGGTTGCTTCACTATTCATATGGCTTACAATGATGTTTTCCAGCCTGTTCATATTTTCTTGGACTAATTCTGCTTACACCCCCTATCTTATAATAATTCTAGTTTTGACCCTCTTAATTTCAATTTTGATTACACCACATGCTTTAGTTTCAATCACACCTTGACCATTACACTAATTGTGAGGACCATAATTTTTTCTTATTTTTATTTTATTTTACTGATTTATTTAATTATTTATTCACCCGTTTACCCCAAATAATTTATTTCATCCATTTTAAGTCCATTTGTATGCGAAAATGTCCCTTTTATAACTTTAAAACATTTCGTTAGCAAATTTAATTTTTCTATGGCTTGTTTAGCGAGAAATAATGAGTATACGTTTTTCGAGGCAATGTTCGGTCCGAGAGTACAATAATCTTGGATAATTAAGAATGATCAATAGTAGACTAAGAAAAGTTAATTGAGGGATTAGATGTGAATGAATTCAAATTAAACTTTTACCGCGCGCGCGTCGATAGTTTCCCGAAAGTCACACCGGTACGACTAATTAGAGATTTGAAAATTTAATATTAGACTAATAAAAGTGAATAATTAGAGTTAAAGGAAGTACCTTGGAGGATTAGTGCATGAATGTATCAAACTCGAGAGAAAACGGTGGTATGAAACCTTCGCGCGACCACTAGTGAGAGTTGACTTTTTGTACACAACCTAAAGCTACTTTTTCTCATTGTTTCTCCCCAAGTTTCATCACTCAAAAACCCTCACTTTCTTCCTCCTCTCTCAGCCTAACCTCTAGCAAGAAAAAGGAAGAAGAAAACTCCATTTGTTTAGCTTGATTTCATCCACAAAACTTCCATTAACTCGCACATAACTTGGAGTAACATTCCATCTTGGAGCAAGGAGCGATCTTGGGGAGTTTTTAGTGGAAAATCTAGGCTTCATCTAGGGTTTCTTCTTGGGTTTTGAAGGTATAAACATCTCCCACCAAAACTCTTGCTTTCTTGTTTTATTTCTTGGTTTTGAAGCTTGTAGCTTCCTTATTGTTGTTGTTGCTTGGATTTGGTTGGTTGAAGTGGGCTCTATGAACTCCCACCTTGGTTATATGAGGGCTGCCATGATGTTTATGTGTGTGTTAGTGTGTTTGTGATAAGTTTTAATGGAAGAAACTAGAAGAGGAAAAAGAAAGAGAGAAACCGTGAGGAAAGAGGTGCTGTCCGAAATTTCTGGTCATATTGTTCTGTTTTAGTTTCAAAAATTTTATGCTTGGTTGACTGTGAAATTGATAGATATAGGTGGTATATTGTGTGTAGAAAGTGCCTACCAAAAATCGTTTCATTTGGTTGCGTAAAACTTGAGCTTTGGCAAGAATCAAATCTGGAAAAACGTATAGCAGGGGTTCTCGGACAGTGTTTTTTGTTCGAACATAACTTTTTGTACAAAAATAAAAATTGAGTACCATTAGTGGCATTCAAAACTAGACATTCATAGTTTTCGAACGGTATAAAAAACTCCTACTGGTTCATTTTGAGTGAACGGCAGTGAGTCGGCAAAGTTAGCTATTCTGTTTTGATTGTTCATACGACTGAAACTAGAAGCTGCTTTTTGTGGCTTGATTTTGTCCTACTTGTTAAAGGATTTTCAAAATGATGTCTTGTGATGAATTGTGGTATTTGGAACCTAGTTTCCAACGCCACCAACCATTCTCAATTTGAGTATATATAGATTTAGATATGGCTTGATTTCGAAAACGCGACAAAGATAGAAAACTGGAAGTTTTTCCTTTCTTGTTGGCCGAATGGTCAAACTTGTCTTGGGATGTTTTGTTTCAAAAATCTTGATGTCAATTGCTTGTCAATTGCTTATTAAATGTTATAGGATCTTGGTTTCAAAATGGATCGAATTTGGGGCTGATTTCATTGGACAAAAACCTTTGGAATGAAAGAAAGAGTGGCTTGGCAGATTTGCTTTGAAAATTTCACTAATTTTAGTCATTTTGTTAACTATGCTCCCACGTGATTTTTTGCCTATAATTTGATAGAGACATAGTTTCCATATGGAAGTTTAAGTGTACCAAATTTGGTGTAATTTCAATACCATTTCGATACCCAAATAGCACTCCAAAGATGACTCTTCAAATCTGGAAATTTTTTATCAGTGTACAAAATTCAGCCAACTTTAAGCTACTATATCTTGCCGCTCAAATATCTGAATTTTGTTCCATTTGTTGTGTTTGAAATATTTTTTTGGAACTCTTGTAGTGTTACAAATTTCAAGGGCTGATTCACTTTCTGTGAATTTTACCAAATTTCCAAAGATTACAAGAAAACCAAGACTGGTTCAAACCTGCTTCTTGGAACTGTAACTTTGAGCTGAAATATAAATACTTTCTATTTGAAATCTTGAAAAAGTATCTTCTAGGAACTTTTAGTACTTTGGATCTAGTTTCCAAAGGTATAAAGTTTACCATTTTTGGACGTACGAAACTCAAGATCTGATTTTACTAAATTTATCGCGCAAAGCTAAAAATTCTTGATTTCTTAGGAAATGAGTTTTTAAGAACTTTTCATTTCCTTTTGATATTGATAGTTCGTTTTGAATCTGATTTCATGGAGGATACGAGTTATCCCTTGTGACTTTGAATTCTCACTTTTGAATCTTGGATTTCACTAGAGTGAAGCTCTTTTAAGACATTGTCTTAGTATTACGCAAGTGTACATTCTTCCTTGTTTGGCAAGGGGTTTGTAAGTATTAGTAAGTGATAGATAATTGTTTGATTTTTTATGGCTATTACTAAAATTTGGACAAAATATATGACATTAATGCCAAGGTAGATAGTGTTTCCTTACCCCTTCATTTTTAGAAGATTGATATAAATACATACATACAAAGACACACATACATGTGTGTGTGTATATTTGTTGACAACTTTTCATCCTAAGCCACCCATTGAGCTTTCAAGTCTCCATTTGTTTCTTAATTTTTTAAATTTATTTAATTGTTTAAAATGTCATTAGTGCTTTTTTTTGGATTGAATCCAAAATTATGCTTTTATTAGTTAAGTTTAGTCCCTAAAATTAGATTCTTCCAAATGTAGCATAACAAGAAATAGAAAACATGATTTGCAATCTAATTTCAACTGGGAAAAGAGTCCCAATGGCCCTCCAACTCTTTTCCAGGTAAAGTTTTAGCCCTCTAACAATTAAAGATAAATTTTTTGCTCTCGATCTAATAAAATAGCATATTAGTGGCCCTTCTGTCAAATCCAGTAGTTAACTATGACGGGAAGCATAATCTCGTGAGACGCGCGACCAAATATGAAGGGCATTGTAGTCTCTTTGCCAAGACAAAGTAAAAATAGTTTCACCAACAATTTTCCCTCCAACAATTTCCACCCCTTTTGCTATAAAACCCTAGTGCGAAAAAAATCAGATTACTCAATACGGATGGTGCAGCAAAAGTGGTAATTGCCAGGGTGGGAGGGGTTGTAAAGGCAGAAATGGAGTGGCGAATACGGAGGAAAGATGACTACTTTGATCCGTACCTTGTTTACGGTAATTGAAATTGTTGTTTACTAACCCATTTGGGTTTAAGATTTGTTTATATGCATGTGTAATGGAACTTATTTGTTTATATGTTTGGGTAATGGTGATGTTGGGAGGCTAAGTGGTCCAATTTATGGTCCTACTTTGTTTGTTGTAAATTGACAATGTCGGACAAAGGAAGTTGTTTTGAAAGTGATGTCTTTTAATGGCTAGGGTCTTTTTTTTTTTGGCTGAATTTGACCAATTCAATATTTCATTTGTTAGCCTCTATGTGTTTTTTGTTGACTGTTTTATCCCAATTGCCATTGTAGAGACTGATTCTGAATGGTTTACTATTCGGATGCATCATGGGGTAGAATTATGTGGGAACAGTATATATGGTATGCTAATGGAGAGGTGGACTATGTAGATGTTTGTGATGCCAAAAGAATGTCAACCATTGAACTAAATAAAATGGTAGAGAAAATGAGACATCGTAAAGCTGCCATAATGTACTACTACCTTGAACCAAATAAGGATCTAACAAATGGTTTAAGAGAGTTGTGCACAAATGATGACGTTAAAAAATTTTGTGCTTGGACTTATAAATACAAGGTAATGGAAGTCTATTGTAACCATCTAACAACTGAAGAAATTAATAGTTGCAAGTCTCCCATAGTGATCCAACCAGCAGAGAAGAAGAAGAGTGGTGTTTTGATAGAAGAGTTGGATAAGGAGGGTAGTGTAGTAGAGGAATCTTTTTCTCACCTAGTTCCTAAGAGGAGGCTGTTCATTAGAGATTCAACTGGAGGACAGAGTGTGAGGACTCGCAAAATTTACTTATTTAATCTCCTATTTTTAACTTATTTAATTATTTATTAGGTCTTTTACTCCGAATATTATTTTCTAAGCTCTTGAGACCTAATTACATGGAAATATAGTTTCATTATATTTTTAAAGTGACTTGTTTCAAAAATTAATTTTCGAGAGCTCGTTTAGTGAAAATAGAGAACACGTCTTTGGGAATCTTGACCGATTGAGAGTACAATAAGTTTGGAATATTGGAGATTTGTATAATAGACCTAAATTAGGTATTTTAAGGTTTAAATACTCAAGTGATAGTTATTAGTACTATCGTTATAAGAATTTCTCGGAAGTTTCGCGTTACTGCGCTTAAATTGGAGATACGCGTTTTCACACGCGCGATTTAAATTTAGGAACTTTAGACCCTTATTTTGGGACAATTAAGAGTGAATAATATTTGTATAAATATAAGTGCATTAGAGGTTTAGTGCACTAGTGAAACAAATGTAAGAGGAATCGAGCACAAAACGCAGGAGAGTTGACTTTTGGAGCATTTTGGGCCACACATTCTTAAGCTTCTCATGGGTGCATCACACTAGATCAAAACCCTTCAATTCATCATCTAAAGTGCAGTGCAGCTCCTTCTTTTTTTGCTCCAAGAACAGCCGGCCAAGGAAACAAAAGAAACAACTCAAAACTCTTCAAATTCCATCTTCATTTCTTCAACAAAACACCACCAAACTCCACCAAAATTGAACCGCACCTAGCTAATCACTTGGTGATCATCTTAAGCTAGAAAAGGGGCTTCATTTCCACGGTTTTCTTGAGCTTCAAAGTAATTAAAAATTCTGATTTTTTCATCAAGAGAGGTAATGAATGATCAACCTCTTAATTCTTGATTTATGGAAGTTAGATTACACTCATGAGCTCTTGGATTCTCATGGGTAGCTTTAATTTGTTGTAAAATTGGTGAGTTGGATCTATGAACTCCCACTCTTGGATGATGGCTGATGTGATGATTAATGATGGGTTTAATGTTGGTTTAGTGCTCAAAATGGTAGATTAATGGTGTATAACTAGTAGAAACTTCGAGGAGTGCATGAAGTAAAAAGTTTCGATTTTACCCCTGCTTTGATCGTACCCTTTTCTGCAGAATTTTGAGGGTTTAATGGCTTGTATATGATGTTTATATATTGTATAGTTGTTGTATAAAATTTCATTGAAAAATATTGAGGTTTGGTAGGTCAAATGAATTATTTTCTTGAAGCTAGTGAACCTGGGAACTGTTCCCGTAATGCTCAGATAGCTTGCTTGTTTCGTTCATAACTCTGTACTCCGGTATCAAAATTGAGTGTCGTCAGTGGCATTTGAAACTAGACATTCCCAGATTTCCATTGGTATCAAATATATGTTCTAGTTCTACTTGAGTGAGCCACACCATTCGATTGAAAATCACTGTCCTGTTTCGGTTCTCTCCAGGAGACAGGACAGGACTTGTATCTTGATGCTCAAAAACGAGCTATTTGTGGATAGAATTTGAAAATGGTTTCTTCTGATAAAATTCAGCTTTATGAATGTGTTTTCCAACACCACCAACCATGCTCAATTCCAAGTTGAATTGAGTGAGTGTTGCCATATTTCGAAACTGATGCAGAGAGTAAAAATCCTCTTTTGACTAGTTAAATAGCCTAGCTTGATTTGGGACTTGTTGTTTTGGAAACTTTGATGTCCAACATCTACCAAACTTTATATTAGATGTTCCTTGGACTTTGTTTCACAAATAAACCAGATTTGGGTTGGTTGCTTTGGACAAAATGTTTAAAAAGGAAAGAAGAGCTAGAAGACAGTTTTACCTTGGGGAAATTTCTTGAACTTTGATGGTTTAGTTAACTATCTTCTCGTGTGAATTTTCAAATGAAATTTGATAGAAGAGTAATCCTCATATGGAGGTTTAATTGTGCAAAATTTGGTAATATTCTAAAACCATTTTGATATGCAAATGATGTCACAAAATTCGCTCATCGAATCTGGAAAACTTGTCGTTTTCTCTTAGTCAAATGGTCAAATCTGATTTGGGGAGTTTTATTTCTAAAATTTGGATGTCAATGGTCTTTAAATTGCTCAGTGGATGTTTATGAACTCTTGGTTTCAATAATGGAGAGATTTGGAACTGATTTCATGGTACAAAAAATTTGTAAACAAAAGAAAAGTGAGAAGGTAGTTTAGCCTTGAAACTCTTCATAAATTTTGGTTGTTTTAATGACTGCCTTAGCGTGAGAGTTTTTGTATGAAACTTGGTAGAAATGTTGTTCACACATGGAATATTTAGTGTACCAAGTTTGATGTATTTCTAATGCCAACTCGATGACCAAATGATACTTCGAATCTAGTCTTCAAACCTGGAAAATAGCCCAACAGTCTTAACTTTTTCTGCAAATTGGGGCTACTATATCTTGGTACTCAAAACTCCGATTCTTGTTTTACTTATTGTGTTTTAAACCTTGTTTGCAACTCTAATTGAGTTTCAAATTTCAAAGGTTAGTACAAAACAAGTGAATTTTGCCGAATTTCCAAAGTTGGCCAAAAACCAACTTAAATCTGTCTTGGTAATTCAAGTTACCAACTTTGAGCCAAAATTTGAGTGCCTTTCACTTACATTCGTGGAAAAGTGTTTTCTAATAACTTTTAGTACTTTCAAAGAGGTTTTCAATGGTACCAAGTTTTCCAATTTTTGACATGTAAAATGTGAGATATGATTTTTCAAAGTATCATATCAATCCTGAAAATTTTTCGAATTCCAAGGGAAGAGAGTTTTCAAATACTCCTTATTCCTTCGATATTACTTGAACATTTTATACTTGATTTCCAAATTGAAAACTCAATTGCTCATGTACTTTAAGAAACTCCCCTTGAACCTCGATCTACGAGTAATTGAGGTTCATTTTCATAAGATTTCCTTAGATTTCTCTAGCGTACAATCTTCCTCGATAATTAGAGATTCATAGTGATATTGAGTGGTACTTGATTATTGTTTGCTCAGGCACTCGAGGGAATCTCCAAGAGAAACTCGGAGCGGACACCTAAACGCTTGTTGAGAACCATTCGCTTATTTTGGATTAGGTGAGTGTTCCATATAGGAATACGTATTTGAATAAGTTTAGGACATGTTTATTTCATGATTATTAAGTGTTAAGTACTATGTGTTAAGTATTTACCATACTCATGCCTATTTAAGGAATGTATACTTGCATTGTATATCTACATGAATTGGTTAAATGATTAACCATATCAAATGACCATATGAACTCGATACATGCTTAACTTGCTAGATTGTTTATTTAGCCTACTTGGTTTTGAAAAATGGGGTCGAGTGTGTACTTTATCACACTCGTTCTCTTTTGAGATGAATAACTCATACTTGGAAATGCTCGAATAACATGACTTGGTATGCTAAGTTTGCATACGTCGTTAAAGTGAATCTCCTCGACTCTCACATGGTAAAAATGGGATAACGGCCAATGATGGCCTATTCATATGACAAATGCCTGTCAATTAACCGTCACTACTCAACCGTTAACCGTCAACCGTTAACCGTTAACCGTTAACCGTTTACCAACCCACATGACTTCCTGATTACTTGACTATTTGCTCACATGATTTCCAATCTACATGACTATTCGATATCCGTGAATTACATGCTCCCATGAAATCAACTTGTATTGCTTACGTGCTTACGTGCTAAGTATCTACTTGATTACTTAATTATCATGAATCACATGTTATATGAAGCTGTCCATCATTGCTAGGCGAGTGTGTACTTTACCTCACTCGACCTACTCAAATGATGAATTTTACCTTTCGTCGAATTACTTGGTTACCTGTGCATGTTGTAAGCTCTAAGCTGAACTTGGGCCCTGCCCTTGGTTACTGACCTACTCGAGCCAGGACTGGGTTCGGTCGGGTAGATTGGAACCCTAGGCCACCGTTTCGGTATACTCGAGTATTACCACCGGAGGGATAAGGTGATGGCCAGTCAAACCGAGGCGATCCGGAAGTCATAAGGTGCAGATGATCGACAGAGTTTCACTAGAATACTGTATCCTACAGTATATGTTTACCTTGTATCATGATAATTGTTTCATGCTAAGATGCCAACATGAAATCCTGAGCTATGCCTGTGATATGCTCCATACCTGTTACCTGTCTAATGTACTCATATCATGATACCTGTTTCATGTTAATGTTCCATACCTGTAACATGCTTAATTACTCGCACTTGTAATAAGCTCCAATCACTCGTGAACTATACATGTCAATGTCTTGAACCATGATAACTGTCTCATGATAAATGTCTCATACCATGATAAATGTCTCAAATTACCCGTACAATGATTATCACCTCATGATAACATGCCATTGTGTAACCTTGAACCATGCATATGATATGCCCAACTTACTTGATTTATTTGAACTGTTAGAGTGTCTTGGAACCTCGCTGGGCTGTGTAGCTCATCACACGTTCCGGTTTTCTTTTACAGAGTTCGAGACCAAGGGTGCTCGTGAGTAGTACTAGATTGTTTTCTTTTGAAAACTTTAAGTTATATTATAACGGATGGCTATTGTACCCTTTTCCGTTGGGTTGTATTTAAGCTTGAAAGCTACATAATTGTAAGTGTGAGATATTTTGGAGTACTTTAATTATGTATTTGAAGTATTATTGAAGTATTCTGAGCTTTAGAATGATGGATTGTAGTGAGTCCTGGCGAGAGCTATGCAGGCGTCCCGCTGATATCCTTTGGTTCGCCTTAGGGAGAAGTGGGGGCGTCACACAGAGTGGAGGTAGAAGAACAACCAAGAACCAGCACATTGGTGAACAAAGTTGCGATGCACAAGCATCTATTCATGAGGAGCAACATGTAGATTCCTTAAGTGAGCAGCAACATGAGCAACAGCATGTAGGTTCTTCAACTGGAGGACAAAGTGGTGATGCACAAGCATGTCATAGCCAGCAGCATGTTGGAGAAACTGATACACAACAAGAAGGATTGAGCTGTCAACAACCTATTGAAGATGAAGGAAATGAGCTGTCAACAGCCTATTAAAGAAGAATGGGAAAAGGATCAGCCACTAAAAGAGGAACTCGGCCATGATAGACCAAACTTTTGACAAACTCTTTCTGTCTTATGCTGTGTAAACTGATGATGACAAGTCATAACCATATCAGAACATGTTTTTGTGTCTAGTAGCTCTTCTCTATTTTTTTCTTTCTAGCAGTTGCTTGTTGGTAACATGCTGATTTTGCTTTGTATTATAGCAGTTCCTTTTGATGCTCATTGTCAAGTGATTAATATGATACAACATGGCTTTATCTGCTCCTTCTTCGTACACCATTATTTTGCCTTCTATCTAAGCACAATACCAAATCAATTCATTGAGTCGAACAAATGAAATACATCACTTTTATTTAATAAAAAGAGATAGCCAGATATTTCATTGGAACAAGCACAAACACAGATTTGATTACTAGCTTTGCGGATACATCATACAACTATAAATCAAAAATTTACATTAAAAGGAACAATTTGGATCATCTTCTTCCCCTACAAACTTCAACTTGGTAAGGGCCAGGCTTTTGCAAGCACCTTGTATTTGCCGAAAATTGACAAGGCTTCCATTTTTTTAGCCCCAACTCATCAAAATTAAAAAAATCAATATCCATGTTAAAAAAAGCAATTTCACCAGCAACTTATTAACCCATTTCTTGCTGCGAATGTATTTCTCCAATTCTTTAACTTTTCCTTCAATTTTGTTACCTTTCTTTCATTTCTTCTTGCTATTTCTTCATATTCATCTCTGTCCTTTTCAGTTGCATTAATCTTTCGAAGAAAGCCAGGTATAATTTCTGTAGCCCGTCGGCATATCACCTCATCGATCCATGCCCAATATTCGCAGCAACCTTCTGCGCATACAACAAACCTTCGCCCAAGATTTTTTGAAGTCCACGAAATAATCACCCTAGTCTCTTTCTCACATCTGCACACCGATAGAGGAGAACTGTTCATTCTTTGCATTTTCAGCTCCAACTTTGATTGGATGGAGATTTGTGTTGCTCTAACTTAAGGTAAGACAAGAAGTTACCTTTTTACTCTCTCTTTGCTTGGTAAACCATCCTTTAGAGACTATAATGCCTTCATAGTTAGTCGCACGTCTCACGAGATGATGCTTCCCGTCATAATTAACTACTGGATTTGACAGAAGGGCCACTAATATGCTATTTTATTAGATTGAGGGCCAAAAATTTATCTTTAATTGTTGGAGGGCTAAAACTTTATTTGGAAAAGAGTTGGAGGGCCATTGGGACTCTTTTCCCAATTTCAATTTTATTAACTTACCAAAATAAAATATCATCATGTTTGATATTGGTTAATTTTACCAAAATTAGAATGAGCAATTAAATGCTTGAACCTAACAATAAGGAAATCTTCCCCAATTCCTTTAGTCTTTTTATTAAACTTAACAAGAAAATAAATTCATTTAGTGCCTATAAAAAAAGTTAAGGAAATATCCTTGCAATTTGTTGATTATATTAAAAATAAATATGAACATATTAATGGTTTGAACATCAAATTAAGGAAATTATAAATGATATGATTTGAAACAAAAATGATAGTCTCAACTTTTTCTTTTTATCACAATTTTACATATTGTGACCTTTATTTTATTTTTTTTATACTCATGTTAGTCAATTATTTTTCTTTTTACTCTACTATCCTTAGTTTGAATAGAGAAGTTAGTTCCATGCTCTTTGTTAGCAAGTTCAAAAGTAACTATACAATCCTAATTATTCTTATGATTGTTTAGTATCTTTTTTCTTAAGTATATATTCTTGGTATGTTGTTTTTCTCTTTCTTACATTTTTGGTATATTAGGTGCTCACAATAATATTTTGAGAACCTATTCAATATAATACTCTTATAATGAGTGTAAGTTTTAAGATGATCAAATTTTATTGATACAAATTTATTTATGATATAAATAACGATGCATTTGGATGGTTAGGCAATTTCATAGTTTCTTTCAAGTCCATGAGTAGGGATTTTTTTTCCTTTGTTTTTACTCAAAATAACTCATTTTGATAAAAAAAAAAATGACACTAAAATTGACTTCATCTTAAACTTTCAGCTTTTCTTTTCCAAATAACATCTTTTGACAAAAATAATTTAACAATTTTGATTTAAAGTGTTAATGCACGGGTCAAAATTCTAGTGTATAGAAATTATATTAAAGAGATGCATTAAAATTTTTGTTAATAGTCATTTAATTTGTATAAACAGCCATTCATTCCTATAAATTTTTATTAATTCTTATGCTCTTTCCTTTGAAAATGGATGTAGTCCAAAGTAGTACGCATGTGATCATGGTGTTGTAAGTACTCTCCAAAATTACTATTCTTAGTATTTAATACTTTCAACAGAAATTCAATTCATCAAGTTTTAGTTTGCTTTTGAATTTCCTTTTAGTCGTGAAACAATCACATATGTAATTACTCTTATTGTGTACTACATATCCTTCACTTATATGTTGACTTACCACTATTGATTAGAGTAAATAGAATTCAATTACGGGATAATATTTGATTACAACTAAATATTAAGTTGTTAAAAGTCAACCATTTTTAATGTGTTTATTTTGAATCCTTGTTTTACAAATACTATATTCACTTTTGTACACTAGCATTTTAAGTTATTGATGGCAGGTGGAATTTTCAGTTGCTGGGTTTGTGGGTACCTCCATTTATTATCAACGACATCCGAATGTTCTCTCTCCCTCAAATTGAGAATGGTGTGGAAGATTTAATGATATGGGCTCCTTCTCAATTTGGAGTTTTCACGCTGAGCTCAGCTTTTAACCTGGTGCAATCACATAAGCAAAGGTCATTTATGTTCTCAAAAGTCTGGCACCCACGAATTCCTTCCAAAGTGTTTGTTTTTCTTCTTCGCTTGTTGCGAAATCGATTTCCCATGAACTCCACGTTATGCAAACTTGGTATTTCGGGCCCATCAAAGTGTTTCTGTTGTGTCCAGGCTAATGGTGAGACTTTGGATCATGTCTTTTGTAGTGGACAGGTAGCAGTTTCAGTTTGGAATTTCTTTGGCTCTGCTTTAGGTGTGCTTAATTTTGGTGGTTCGGTTCGGGCTTATATTGCAGGTTGGTGGTATAGCGCACCAAGAAATGGTTTCATTGCATTTGTTTATTTTATTATACCTTCTCTGATTTGTTGGAATATTTGGAAGTCCATAAACTCGGCACGTTTTGAAGGGAAACTTCTTTCTCACGTCACTATCTCTGAGTTTGTTTTTGACAATGTGAAGGACCTCTTTAGGTTGCAATTCCCTGGGTACCCATTCACTTCCTCAACATGGATGGAGTTTTATTATTCGCTCTCTTATATTTATAAGAAAGTCTCATTTATGATTGTAAGGTGGTGTCGGCTATTCTTGGGTGTAATTAAACTTAATACTGATGGCTGGTCAAGGGGTAACGCAGGGAGGGTAGGTGGTCACTACTAGAAAAATAGCTTTTGGTGACACTTGTATTATGACATTTTTTCCTAAATGTCATAATAGGGTGTTAACATGACAGTCAGTAAGGAGTGTCATTAAAAAGGTGCCAAAAATAGAAAAAACTACACCGTATCACCCTTAATTTTGAAAATTGGCTCTATGTTTTAGCGCGTGATTATTTTCACCCAAAATTCTAATATTTCCTCCCTTTTCTTACTTACCACATCTCATCACATCTCTCCTCACCCGCTGCATTCTCTCTCTTTTTGTACTGTGACCTTTCCCTCCCTCTCTTGTTTCTCTCAATTTAGGGATTGAGAGGGCAGATTTAGCCAATTTTCTTGCCAATCTGCTAATTTTTCAAGGAGGAAGCAACTAGGATTCATCCCACCGATGGAGGTATGATGATTAAGATGTTTGTTTAGTTTATTGAATATCAATGATTCAATTTTTTGTTAACATCAAGGTTGTTTTCTTTTTTATTTCTTGTATTTAAGAGATAATTTTAACTTTAGGTCTAAATGGATGCCGTCGAAAGATAATTGTTTTTTGGATGCCATCGAAAGATTCCAAGTAAATGTTATAGCCTTCTTTAGCATCAGTTTGGTAGCATCTGTGACCCACCACATGTTTGATAAATTGACTAAACGAGTTTTTCATTGCTTGCCAAATGGATTTGCTCTCTAGTTTACTCAATTCTTCCAAGCAGCATGCCCTTTAGTTTTTTGCCAAGGCTCTGCCTTCTTTTTTTGAAATTTATTTTATAAACTAATCTTGAGTTGAATAAAGAACTGAAATACTACAACATGGTTGAATGTGTCTTTATGTTTTCTCTTCGGATCTTTAGTTTGAACATGCATTTTCTGTTTGAGATATTTAGTTGTTTTTGTCTATATAGAGCTGGTCACATCAAACACAAGCTCAGGCGATGTTGTAGCTCTTCTCGGCCACCTAGCTCCAAAAACAAGCCTAAACCCCCGGTGATAATCACTCAAGAGAGCGCAAACACGCTCCGAGCACATAAATTAGAGGTCAGCAGCGGCTGTGATGTGTTTGAATTAGTTGCAACATATGTTAGAAAAAGGCAAAGAGGTATTTGCATATTGAGTAGTAGTGGCACGGTCAACAATGTGAGCTTGAGGCAACCGGCTGCTGCCGGCTCAGTCATGACGTTACATGGCTGGTTCGAAATTTTATCATTGTCGGGCTCCTTCCTTCCACCACCAGCTCCACCGGGTGCCACCAATTTGACCATATATTTGGCTGGTAGATACAGTTAAGTTGTTGGAGGAAATGTTGTGGGAGCTTTGATTGTTTCTGGACCTGTGATTGTTATTACTCCTTCTTTCACTAACGTAGCATATGAAAGACTGTCTTTGGATGAAGATGATCACTCACTTCAAGTGCAGCCACCTATGGTGTCTCAGCCCTCCATTGGTGGCGATGGCAGTGGCACTAGTGCTGCTGTTGCTGGTGGCTCAAATAATAAATTTTCTGATCCATCTTTAGGGCTTCCCTTATTCTAAATTAGTATATAATTTGTAAACACTTTTGGTGTGGATTGTTTGGATGATGCACTTTTGCACAAGTTTGGATGATTGTATTGCTTCTTTTATATTATTGTACTAGCTACGTTACAATCCTTCAAAATTTAGGATTGGAGATGCTTGTGTGGC